GAAGCACTGTCGAATCAGAAATGCTTTGTTTCAAGGAGGCTTGGTTGGACGTGGGGTGATGAGGAGTACGTTCTGTGTATGTGACAGTGTCATTTTGTATTTCTTTTTTAGTAAGAGCTTTGGGTTGGCAACATGTAAAGATGGCTTAAAAAAAAAAAAAAAAAGGTAAACTAATAATTGAAAGATATCTTTGAGAAACTGATTTGAATGAAGTTATTTCTAGGCCTGAGCCAGGTGATGCCTGTTCTGTCGTCCAGTGCAGTCAGCTGTGATCCAATGACCACATTTCTGTAGGGTGATAGTTCTAAGTTAGTGGTTTTTATGTGCTATACTTAGCTATTTATCTTCTGAGAGAAGCAGATTTATACCGAGTTGGATGTGTTTGTGAAAAGGCTGCTAAGGAGGTGGAAGCAAATTTGAGCATTAAATTGACAAATCTCACAACAATGCAGTACTTAAATGGAACGTTTACGTGCATCATTACCTCCAGCATCTTTTGTCTCGCTATGCAGGAGACCCTCCTGTGTGTGTTCCAACCAAGACATTTTCATGTTTTCATGTATTTATGCCATTTTAAGGAGTGAATTTATACAACAGAAAGGAGAGAAACTTTATGATGAAATCTAGAAAGCTTTTTTTTTTCTGAACTGCTTGCTGTAGGTGCGTATTGCTTTTTGAACATTGCAGCTAGGTACTTTGAAATCAGCATTAATTAGTGAGGTTCTGGGAGTTGGAGAGAGTCATATAGAGAAAATATTATACTGGTCTTTATAGATGTAAAGGATGGGGTTTTGATGGACTTGTTTGTTTTTGGATGCGTGTGGTTTGTTTTTTTGTGCATTGCCCTCCCCCAGTTGGTTAAGTGTCTCTGCCACAGCTTTGTGCTGGCCTGTTTGGTGGTTCCCTATGTGTGCAATAGTTGAAATAGTTGGCCTACCTCATCTTAGTCCTCTGGGAAGTGGACTTTGAGGGAATGAATCCATGTTTAAAGTTGCCTTTTTTAAGATGGTTCTAGGAAAAAAAAAAATAAATAAATAAAATTATGACATGGGCAGCCCTTAAAGGAGGTACTTTGTTGGCCTTCAGTGATGCTGTTTTCCTAGCACTGCACGTCCTTCTTGCTGCTTAATGGTGTGCTGCCTCAGTGGTTTTCTAGCAGAAAACTACGTCTGAGTTCCAAGTCCTCTTGGAGATATGTGCGTGCTCTTCTCTGCACAGCTGCTCTCTGAAGAGCAATTCTGAATGTGCCAAGCAGAGCTAATGTTTTGGATTTGTTTATTCTTATGGAATTGTTCCTAAAGTCATCGGTTTCTTTAATAGCAGCCTTTATGAAAATATTTAGGTTGAATGCAAATTGTATCAGCTGAAAACCCAAGATGCTGTATGTTTTGCTAAGTCATCTCGCTCTTCCCTTTTCACCCCCCTTCCTCAAAAGCTAAGAAAAACTCTCCCTTTGTGACTGTCGTGTCAGAAACCACGGAGCTTTTTGCACAGAGGAGTCCTCTGGAAATACCAGGCACGGGGACATCTCTGTAATCTCAGTGGAGATCAACCAGCGGTTCGTACAGTGGACACAGCAGCATCTAGGTTGTTAAATGGAAAAGTTATCTACTTCCAGCACTTGCAAGAGCAGTCTCTGCATGGGTAATAAAAAGAAACTTCCATTTTGTTCTGCCAAGAGCGCTTTCTACGCGAAGCAGCCAGAACGATCTGCTTCTCTCACTTGGCAAAGGGAGCGCCTACAGTAAAAGCTGAGATGCAAATAGCTGTGAAGGAAGTTAGTTTGAAGACTTGAGGCTCACCAGTTCTGCTTTTGGATGTGTTCTTGCTGGTGGTGCAAATAAGGCTTTTGGGTGAAAGGTGAGAGCACCACAAAGCAGCTGAGGTACCGTGGCACTCATTTCGCTAGCAGCTTATAGGGGAGTGGTATTGAGAGTTCATGTCAGTGGGGACTCTTGGTCCAGCTGCTGTCAGCTTTTTTTCCTTTTGTGCTGGCACTAATGGTAAGCTGGAGAATGGTTGTGACTGAAAAAGTTATTTATGCTCCTCTTTTTTTTTTTTAATTTTTTTATTTTTTTTATTAAAGCTGCTGGTGGAGGAAGGAGGAGGATCAAGCATGAGTGGATGGAACAGTCACTCTTGGCAGTATTGTAGATTTATGCTAGACCAGATCTTGTATCTACAGTTTATGATTATGAATTATCTCAGGCCATGTTTAATGAGTTCCTTTTTTTTTTTTTTTTCCCCATAGGGAAAGCATGCTCTATGTTATTGGCATTTGTATTTGCAATTCCTTGAGCCACTACCTTTAATTTCATGTGAGAACTGTGTTGAAAGTCATCAAGTCAGTATAATCTTTATTTCAGAAGTTTCTCAGAGGTTTTAATTTAGGTTCTGTGTCTGAGATCATAAAATCATAGAGTGGCCTGGGTTGAAAAGGACCACAATGATCATCCAGTTTCAACCCCCTGCTGTGTGCTGGGTCGCCAACCACCAGGCTGCCCAGAGCCACATCCAGCCTGGCCTTGAATGCCTGCAGGGATGGGGCATCCACAGCCTCCTTGGGCAACCTGTTCCAGTGCCTCACCACCCCCAAGCAAAAAACTTCCTCCTCCTGTTTAAGATTTCAACAGTGCCTGCAGAAAAGGGCTTTGCATGGCAAGAGGCATCTGTCACTAGGAGATGTTTGTTTTTTACTGCCTCAGGACTGCTGGAATGCTTGAATTCCTCCAAGTTTCTGAGCCCATAAATTTTCCTAAACCACTATGGTAAATTAACTTTGTGCGGACTGAATTCTGTCCTCAACGTTTGTTTAATCTTATTAAACTCATTAAACCACCTGTGTATTTTCAACTTTTTTTAATAACTCTTGGTGATAGTCCTTTCCCTTTAAAATTTTGTTTTAGCATTAATTTTGTGGGAGCTACCCATTTCTTTCCTCTCCGTGCACGGATTTCTCTCATCTCGTTGTACTGAATGAGCTCCTCATTGGCTGTGGCAAGCTGATCTTCGACCTGGAGAAGCAAACAAATCTACTTCTAAAAATACGGTCTTTGGGATTCGTCCCAGTTATAAAATGCCTCCTTCCAGCAGGGCATTATCTGACCATGTCACAGTGCCAATTCTTGCAAATGTTGCTCAATGCATGAAGGGCCTACCGTCTAATGTTTAAACAAATGTAATATCATTATAAATAATTTTTTTTCTCTAGGGTGAATTGTTTCTTGCATGTAGTTAAAGCTTCCAAAGGAGAAAAGCAATACAGCATTAACTTTTTTTGGTCTGCCTTCATGTGTCCCTTAAGTACGTATTACAGTACAAGATCCAAATCTTCAAAAGTAACTTTATCTGGTTATCAAAAGGTATTTAGACATGGCTAAATGTCATTTTGCCTTGCCCGTGACATGCCATAGGACGCCGTGGGTATGAATCTTTGTTGTTTAGTGCTGACATAACTGCATGTCTGGCAACTTCTGTTAGAAATCTGTGTATCTTAACAGCGTCCAAAATCTTTCTCAGTTCAATTGGTTTGTTTTTTCCCTGTTGTAATTAAGGAAGACAGTAGCTATGTTTTCTTCTGGAGTTGAGCCTCTTTTTGCTGCAAACTTGGAGTTCGCAGCTGAGTGAATAATTGTGCAGACTGATGCCTCAATCTTTCCTGTATTGATGGGTTAGAACAGGAGGGCAGTGTGTGGCTATAAGCTGTTTAGATGCGTTTTCTGCACTGGGCATGTGTCCATAAATCAGCTGATGTCACTGTGTTGCTAAATGACATGTTGTGATAGAAATGAACTATCGGGAGAGGGAGTTTGAATTTTGTTCCATGCCGTACAAAATCCTGATGTATCTTCTGTGGAGCCAGTAGGCAGCTACCTGCTCTTACGTGTTTGGTGGAGTCACCTAGTCTAGCTCCTTGCCGTGTCCCTCATGGTGCAGGACTGCTTGGGTATCACTGGTAGTGCATTGATTTTGCTCTGCCCAATGTGGAAAGAGTGAGTTAATTTGTCTGTTAATGCTCAACCTCCAACTTAACCTCTTTCCCTTCTGAGCTTTTATGCCAGCGTTGTTTTCCTCCAACACAGCGGATGTAGATGGCATGAGCCTTTTGATGACTCTATCCTTTTCATATAAGTTTTATGAGCTGGTGAGATTGTTAGTTGTGCTTGCCCTGTCCAGCAGGTGCTGTCATTCCCTTCCCATGAGGAATGATGTAACTATGTATTTTAACATATATGTTTTTGTTTTTAAACTCATCTGGGAGGTGAATTGAGGGATAGCCTTACTGTGCAGGAAAGATGAAGAGAGGTCCTTCATGAGGATTATGATTAAGAAATTGTTTCATGTTAGGCAACACATTATTCTGAATTTGTTAATTACTTAAATGCTGTACAGTCTCACACTGTATGAAATATTTAAGATATTATCTTGTTGGCTGAAGTATTGAACATGTGATTCTTGTGTGTTGTTCTAGACTTGTGGCTCATGAAAAATACGTGTTCAAATTTGGTGAGAGTTAGATGGTCATCTTAGAATCATAGAATGGCCTGGGTTGAAAAGGACAACGATGATCATCATTTAGTTTCAACCCCCCATCATGTCCAGGGTGGATCTTCTATGCACCAGCAAAACTTATGTAGGTTAGCAGCCCACTCTCTCTCTGTTCCAGTATGGCACACCTAGCAAGGCAGAGATTTTGACCTGCTGTCTTACTGCTTATCCTTTTTAAACCTCGTTGAAAAATTCTTGTCTCCTCCTATCTAGAGGTGAATGAGGCTTGGAGATGTATTTTAATAAGTCCTGTAGAAGAGAGTAGAATTTAAAAATTAAAAAAAAATATATAAATATAAATTCTACTTAGAAGAGAAGAACCTTAATCTCTGCTGAAAATTTTTGTTAGTTGCATGAGAATGTTATTGATCTGTGTGTTGGATGGCTCTTACCGGAGATGCAACTGCCATGTTTTGTTGTACTTAAATGACTTTTGGCTTTTCATTTTTAAGGAACATTCTGGTGGACAAGCCCAATGATCAGTCCTCGAGGTGGTCTTCTGAAAGCAATTATCCTCCCCAGGTAAGCATCTGAAATTCTGCAGGTATACAGCTGTGTTGTACTGCATAACATACAATTACATGTTTATTTTAAGCATAGGCTGCTACTGTTTATAATGACGGGCTTTATAAATTACCTACTCAGTTCATTAAAATGTAAATACCTCATGTACCATTGACATGCATTTCCAGCAATGTATTCGTGATCTTTCAAGGAATGTTTTCTGTAGGGGAAGAGTTCTGCATTTCAGCCTTGAAAATCACGGTGGTACTGGAAATAATGTAACCTTATGGTTAGATTAAGCTGCTAATGAGGCATGCGGGTCCCCCTTTGTCAGCGCTATTGGAAACTGCTGTGGACTGCTGGCCTTGAATCCTAGATCTAAGGAGCTTGTGTTTGTTTCCCTTAATAGCACATTAGAAATGTGGAATCCTTATAGATGTGAAAGTCACCTCGTCTGCCGATTAACCGCCTTATTAAAAAGAATTTGTATTGATTCTTAGCTTCTTGTTTGCCTTTTTATTATTAAGTTGCGTGATTAAATGGAAAAGTATACTAATGTGTTAACTTATGATTTTTCCTTCAATAATAGCATCGCAGATCTAGCATAGAGTGGCTACAGTGGTACTATTTGCTCAGCTCCTCCTGTATCTGTTATACTGGGTTTTTGAAGTCCCAAGTTCAAGCAGTGATGTGCAGCAGAGTATCTCTCATGCAAAGTTATTCTACTTACCTGTACATACAATAAGTACATGGAATTCGGATACTCCTTGTGAGTTAAGTCTCTGGATTTTTCCTGTAGGTAAATCTTGCTGCTATGCTGTGAAGGTATATTGAAAATGTGTGCAACTGGCAGCTCCGTATCACAGTGGGGTCATGTCATCCAACTGAAAGGCTTTCATCCTAATTTTACTGATAGTATTATATACTGTTGTCTGTGAAAGTGTTTTCTGATAAGGAAGGAAGAGCTATGTTATCAATGCTGTTAGTGTTGTAAACTTGCTTCTGATGACTGATCTGCATCTACTGCTTGTTTCATTTTTTTTTTTTTTAATGTATCTTTTTTGTTAAACAGCATGGGAATTCCATCCATTGCTTGAAGCAGTTCTAATCTGTCTATTACATATTGATTGGAGGGTAATGGGTTTTGAGCATGTATTGCATCTCCAACTGTGCTATCCTTCACCTTGTTTTGTTCAGAAAGCATGTGGTTTTTTTTTCTTTTTTTCTTTGAGCTCTCATGCATTCAGAAGGCAAGGTTGGTTGTGGTGTAGCTTTAGACTGGGTTTTTCATGTAAGGTGTTCATAATTCTGCCGTCTTGTTTTTGGGGTGATCCTGAATATTTTGTTCTGTTTTCAAACTGATTCTGAACTGGGAATTTGTTTCTTGTGGCTGGATGCTTTACAATATTCCCATTTGATGGTTAAAGCCAAGGAGCAGCAATACAAGTTCACAGAATCATTTGTGGTGAAAAAGACCTTTAAAGGTCATCTGATGTAACTTCCCTGTGATGAACAGGGACACCTACAGGTAGATCAGGTTGCTCAGAGCCTAGTCTAGCCTGACCTTAAATGTGTTGAGGAATGGGATATCAGCGACCTCTCTGGGCAACCTGTTCCAAAGCTTCACTACTCTTGTCATAAAATGTTCTTTCCTTGATTTGCATCTAAATCTCCACTCTTTTAGTTTCAAACCATTTCCTATCACAACATCCTGCTAAAGAGTCTGTCTCCTTCCTTCTCCTGGCCCTGTTTAGATACTGAAAGCTGTTCTCAGGTCTCCTTGGAACCTTCTCTGAGATCTGCAGCTCTTTCAGCCTGTTCTCATAGTGGAGGTGTTCCATCCCTTGGATCATTCTGGTGGCCCTCCTCTGGACACACTCCAGCAGATCTGTGTCTCTCCTGTGGTGAGGACTCCACATCTGGATGCAGTACTGTAGATGAGGTCTCTGCAGGGCAGAGTAGAGGGGCAGGATCACCTCCCTCGCCCTGCTGGCCACGCTGGTTTTGATGCAGCCCAAGAATACAGTTGACTTTCTGAGCTGTGAGGGCACATTGCTGGCTGATGTCCAGCTTTTCATCCACCAGCACCCCCCAAGTCCTTGGCTGTGCTCAAGCCTTTCATTCCCCCAGCTCGTGTTAATAGTCAGGGTTGCAGTGACTGAAGTTACATCAAGAATGTGGAATAAGCAGAGAATAATCAGACTCACTTCATCAAGTTCATGTGGTTTTTATTTGAGAGATTTTTCCATCAGTTTTACGTGTATTGAGCACAGAATGAATGAAGATGTTATTGTACATCTGCATCCAGCCCTGGAGAACTGGGCGTTGCCCTGCATGCTAAGCAAGTAATTTAAACCAAACATTTGACTGGAGAATTAAATATGTGTGTAGGAGGTATGCAGATAATAGCAACTGAGATTACTAAAACAGTGTCTCAGTTTTATTCTGTTTCCTTTGAAGACAAAAATGCAAAAAAAAAAAAAAAACCCAAAAAACAAAACACCTGTCTGCCCGAGTGGAAAAGACAGTCCCATGGGATTCCTCTTGCTTGAATCTCTGCATGCAACAGCAAGAAAACAAAATGCTGTGCAGTTGTTTGTTTGTTCAGTGAGACCACTCCTGAGCACTGTGTAAGAGGGATGTCTTTGCAGTGTCTCCAATCTGTATTTTAGCTAACTCTCGTGCTTCTTATCTAAGAGTTCAATGACTTGTTTAAAGCATATTTGCTGGTGTTAACATACCTGTTGTAATAACAACTGCGAAGGAGGATTGGGGAATTAATATTTGCAAAAGAGGCCTCTGCATGAAGGGTGTAGCTTCTACTATTTCACGTGAAGGAACTGTTCCAAGTTAAGGTCTCATACCCTATCAAAGAACTTCAGATTGGGTTATGTTCTGCTCAAAATAGATACTTCTCACACCTCCAACAGTGAAAGATTGCCACATTTTGATGCAGGTGAAAGTTATAGACAGGATGTGTTTACTCATTCTCATAAACTGATGGAGCTCTAAAGGTAGAATCTTAGCTTGGAGAACTTCAGTTGAAATAGTAGTTAACCAATTAATAAGCATGGAGGCTGAGGGAAACTGGTTGCTTTCTGACTATTTCATATTCCAGAAATAAAATGTATGTGTCCACTTGATTTTTAATCTCCAAAATAAATGTTGTGCATCCTATGGCGAATGAAGTTATAAAGCATTTTATGGTTTTTGTCTTGGCATTTCTTCATTTACAAATTGGTTGCTTGTGCAGTGACACTGTTGTTAAAATATATGGGTGGCCATAATGGTCTGGGACAGGAAATGCTGTAAAGCTTGGTAAAATACAGCTTTCCTCGTTTCAAACTTTATTAGCTGAAACAAGGGCTAAGACACAACGCGTGGACTAGTGCAGTTCAGGCTCACTGACACATGCTGGGGGGTATTTTAATAAGCTGCAACCCTAATTGCTGATTTGTCTCATCAGTGAGTCTCACCTTTGTGTAAGAGTTTACTAATTTGCCAGTGCTGAAAATGTGAGTGAGTCCCTAAGCACTGAGTTATTCATTTCCCAGCTGAGTGAAAAAAAAAGCTCTACAGACACCTTTCTGTCAGAGCATTCCTCTTGCTAGGGTAAACATGAGTCAAAAGAACACATGTGAACTTCGGGGTTCATACAGTGCCTCAGAGCAGATCTCTACAGTGAGCGTGGTGAAGTGTGCACGAGAAGTTTATCAAGAAGGAAAGAAAATGAAAGTGGAAGTATAAATATTTGAAATGCTGTTCTCTGGGTGTATATAATAGAGTCTAATTGTATGGGTACGCTAGAGTTAAATCATTCTAGCAGCCATGAAAGCCAGGAATTATGAATGAATGCCAGTGAAAGGAAATACATATGACAGCTGTTTTTCTGTTTATTAAACTAGATATCTTTCTTGGGTCTTGAAATAGAATGACCCAGAAATTACATATTCAATAATAAACCTGTTATGTAGTAACCTATTCAGGCAGAAGAGGGCTGATAGTTCTATTTTTGAACTAGTTCTAGGCTTACATAGGAAGTGTGAAGCAGAAAGGCTGGTAGTGCTGAAGGCTGTGGCTCTGTTCTAAATGTGCATCCTGATGGTTCCAGTGATGGTCTGGCTCAGGAGGCTGCATGCAGAACACTGAATTCCCCTCATGGCCTGATTAATAATGTGCAGAACAAAGGGACAGACTTAATTACAAAAACAATGGGTAAGTTTGTGTTATGGCCAGTGATCCTGTCAGGTATTTTCATTATTTCCTGCTTTTATTTTCAAATACAAAATAAGTTTCATTACTCCCTAATAACAAGTGTGTGTAGTGCTGTATTGTAGTGGTTGACAAGCAGAAATGGTTCAAGAAAAAAATAAGTCAACATAATACGATCTGAGTCTGTGAACAGGCATCTTCTGTAGTGCGGTTTGGAATCAGTTTCATTTGCTTTAATGCAGAGGTGCAGAATCTGAGCTGTTGGAGAGCACATGTAGAATGTTAGTGGCTTTCTCCAAACAATTAGTTTCATTTTTGCATCTGAGAAGAGCGGTTTTCCACTCTTGAGTTGCATCCTACTGTAGATCATATCAGCAACTAATTTAAAACACATTTGTAGAGTTTGTACTCAGTCGTGTGATGCAGGAGCGTGCATGTGGTTGTCATCAAATGGTGGCCTGGACCAGAGCTTCAAAAAAGTTTTGAACTGATTGCAGATCCCAGTGTGACAGGGTTGGATTTGTATTCTTGGGTGCACATAACTGGCTGTTGAGGTGCCATGCTCTGCTCTTTGTGCATCTTCACTTACTGACACACTTACTCACGGAGCACAAGTTTTGCTCTTCTAATGCAATCTAGCATCTTGTTTGTAAGTGTGGTAGTTTGAAGCTTTCTGTGCAGCTACTCCATGTGGTGTCACTATGCCATGCTTTTAATGAACAAATATTTAAGCTTGTAATTTGGATTGTTGGAATACTTCTGAATACTCCAGTGTTAAGTGCACTGATTCTGCTTATGGCAGTATGTCTGAAAAGTGTTATGTAACTATATTCGTATATATATGTGTGTGTGTGTGTGCATGTGTCTGCCTGAAACCTCATAGACTTGTTCTCTACAGATGTCTTCAGTTATTTTCATAACGTAATAGAAATGTAAGATCAAATCTGTCCTTGAAAGCTATAGAGGATAGTGTGTGACACTGAAATCCTGGTAACAGCCCAAGAACATCCCTGCTGCCACCTGTTTGCAGTTCTTGAGGAGATGTGTGTGTGTGTGTGTGTAGATGTGTGTATATATATACACATACCTGTTTGAGTGTGAGATCTGTAGCTTGTACTCACAGTGGCCTCTGTGTGTACATATCTTTGTGTACATACAAAATCTGCCTGTATTAAAAGCTGCATCTGTATTTTTGTGTTTTGTGTGTGTTTACACACTTGTATATTTTTATACAGGGGTGCTCTGAAAGTAATGCCTCCTATTTTATTAGGCTTGTGTGGCACGTAGGCTCTTGTTTGTTGCTGACAAAAATGCTTAGTGAATGGCGATGACTGCTGAAAAATAGTGTTTTGTAGCTGAGAATTTGCTCAATTGAATAGTGTTATTTTGCCCTTTTGTGTCTCTTGTATTTTCCATGCGAACGAGTAAGAAGCATTACTTTCAGAGCAACCTGTGTATATTAAGAACTACAAAAAGCATTGCTAGGTTCAGGTATTGGGCACAGGTGTTGAGGAACACTTGGCTTCTGGTTCCCTACCAGTCTTCAGCTTTTGTGTTGGTGTCCTTTAATCTGTGTGTGACTCAGCAGGTGCTGGGATGTGTGGGAGCAGGAAGGAGGGCTGTCTGTAGCCTTCAGAAATAACTGCTGTCCGTGTGGAGCAATTGCTGTTGCCTTACTTTGCTTTAGACATCTTTTGGAAAGGATTCGTCTGCATTCCTGGATTACTTTGTATTTTAGAGCACGAATCTAATAATGCAGGATGAAGTTTATGTCAAGCTTTTGCATATCTTGCAGAGCACCTGGGAAGATATTCCTTCGTGCTCCAAGCAGGAGGTTTGTGATTCCAGCAAGATTTAACAAATGCAGTTGCTGATGCTAGCAGTGCTGGTGTCACTTGTTCAGCTATGGGAGAAATCTGCAGAGAGGATCTGATGGTGGAGGAGCTCTTATTGTGTACTGTCTGTTCTGCATGGGAACTCTGGCAACTGGCTGTGCTGTGTATCAATACTGCCATGCTACAGGACTGTGCCCTTACTCATCCCTTCCTTCTTTCTGTCTTAAAAAATTTTGTTTTCTGTATAAAACTGCTTTTTGCCCCAAAGTTTGGAAATTACTTGGAGACAGAAGCTTAGCTTTCTGCTAGTTAGCTGAAATTATGTTCTGACATCCAGATGAGTGGCACAAAACTAAGCAGTTTTCATTTAAATACTTAATGGGGAAAAAATATGTTTGGAAAAGCACCAAAGCATTCTTCTGTCGCATCCGAGCACTGCTGATATAGACCTATTTTCTTCGTTGCTGGAAACATCCTTGGCCGTAATTCCTCTCTATCCTTAAAAGGTACCCATCTGCATTATTCAAGATAACTGCTGCTTGTGGAGTATTTTCCTAAGCTTAAGCTCTTTGTGAGTCATAGGATCATTAAGCTGGAAAGGACCACTAAGATCATCTAGTCCAGCCATCTCCAGGAGCTCGCCGTGCCTGCAGCTCACACTTCCTAGTTGGCCAAGCCAGCTCTCCTGTCTCCTTTGTAGTAAGAACCAATACTTGAGATGACCTGTATATCCTGATGCTCTCCAGAACAGCATCACTGCTGCTCTTCTGTTCAGAACTAATTGCTTTATAGAGCCGTGGCAGGACAGAGATGAGATTCCCTAAAGAGATGGGAAAACCTTGTTCTGTTTCTCGCTTGAGACGTGTCCTTCTAGGGTAAGATTGTCCCTCAAGATGGAGCTGCTTAGCCCAGGCAGGGCAGTCTTTCCAGCACTTTGTGGAAAGTTGCTGCTTTCTGCTGATAGGCAGTCGGAGCAGTCATGTGCATGCACACACCGTGTAGATAACTGTTGTTGAAAGACTTGAAATACGGCCTCGTGTGTGCTTTGGCAGTGCTGCTTTCTGGAAAAAGGCCACCGGCAGTGCCTGCAGGGGAGGTGTTCCACACCACCTTAGTTGTCTGCTTGAGAAGCATAGCCTTGATCATAAGGTTTTGTAACCAAATCCAGGGCAATGAGTAATTTTGATTCTGCTCTTAGTTTTAGTTTGTCTGCTGTGCTGCTTATTTCTGAGAAGTCAGACAAGAAAATTAAGCATTGTTTTCAGGTATGAATCTCAATGTATTCTGTGAAGCAGGATGTCTCCGGAGTCCCTCCACTGTGACCTACTTTGTAGTGGAAGGTTAAATAAGCTTGGGGTGCTCAATGGTTCCAGATGAATGACGCAAAAATTCTGTGTACGCTTTTCAAATGGAAGAAATCTTTTGCTCCAGCAGTGCTGGGAAGCTGATAGCTGTGGTCTGAACGTAAATAATCTGCTGGCTTGATCCCTACACTGCTGGGGGATGTCTGTGTTAGGAGGAGCAAATGTTTACGTAGGAGAACACTTTCATCACTTCATGTGCAAGGCCCCTGTATTGTCAGTTAAGTGGTGAGGTTTTATTTGGGATGCCTAATAAGCAGTTGGCTCCTACATTAGCCACAAAATCAAGCTTAGTCTGTATTCAGTGGTTAAATAGTGTCAGCCTAGAGAGGAAAAGTATTTGATGTTCTCTTAGCATGTGGAACATACTGTATTTATCTAATTGTGCATTCAGTTTAGGTTTCATTTCAGGCTCTAGTGGGCGTCTGAGTCATCATTCTTGTTAGATCCGTCTTATTTGCTAGATTTTGGGAAGTCTTGCATCTAACTTGAAGGAATGTCTGTAAGCCTTGAATAGCAATGCTAGGAATAGGCACTTAAACTCAGTTCTTTTTCCTGGATGGACTTTTTAAAAAGTAATATTCCTAAAAAGCCTTTGTTTTTTAGGAACTGGAAATAAGCAGAAATAATGGGGGGGGCTCACCTTAATTTTTTGTTTTGTTAACAGAATATTTGAAGGCAGCCTTTGCTTTAATATTGAAATGCACTGTTATCTCTTCCACAGTATTTGATTCTGAAACTTGAAAGACCTGCCATAGTTCAGAGTATCACATTTGGCAAATATGAAAAAACACATGTCTGCAATTTAAAGAAGTTTAAAGTCTTCGGTGGGATGAATGAGGAAAACATGACAGATCTCTTATCCAGGTAAGATGTGATTTCATCAGCTATGACAATCATAAAGGCTGGACCAAAATGCTCTTCCCCTTCACTGCCCAACAGATAGGTGGCAAACAGTGTAAAAGAGCTTTTGTTGTGATCCTGAAGTTAGCTGCCCTTGTTTATGGTCAGGTCAGAGAGCAACGAGCCCAACTCTTGCTCCAGAAAACCTTTCTTATCTTGCTCTAACCACAGAATTTGTGGAGAATGTGCTCCTGGAGGCTTTAAAGACCTGAGAGCAAGAGGCAACATTGGATTTGTGATTTCTTTCTTCCTTGTGCCTGAGGCACGATATAAATGATTCCCCAGGTGTGGGAAACTTAAAGAAGCTTTTAAAAGCACAAGTAGCCTACCTATGTCAAGAGCCTCACTGCAGCTATAAGGATCTAAACCAGTCAGCTGCTCTATCTAGCTTCAAATAAATAAATCAGATAAGCAAATAGAAAACCTTTTTTTTTCTTTAGTTTGATTTCTAGTTATGCTGGTAAGGACTAATGAAAGAGCCTTTGGGCTGTTCAGGCCTTATTGTGAGCTTCTGGGAAATTGCTAATGTAAATTTGCAAGGGCCTTTTAAGGTCTCTTCTTTCAGAAAGGGGAATGATTTAAATATCTAGGAGCACAAGATGAGTAGCAAGAACTAATCTATTTTTGGAGGCCTACAGAAGGAAACTCCACCTCCAGGGAATGTGTTGGTGTACGTCATCTTTAGTCAAGTAAATTAGCCATGGAGAAACATGGGACATTCTTTGCAGGTGTCCTTCTAGCCACATTTCTCCCTGTCCCTCCCCTCTCTTAAGGTAGATCAGTCTTGCAATTTAGCTTTATTGCTGCTGGAATTTTCTAGAGTAGAGATTTTTAGTAGTGTAGTAGTTACTGATATCTAGTGTTGTTTCACTTGTACCAAAGTTTAATTAAAATCTGTATTTTGGGACCTGTAGCTGCATCTTCAGTACAAATGAACCTATGATTTTTGATAAGTTATATTAAATAGTTTTTATAAAGTGTTGCTCATAAATGGATCACAAAACACTTCAGCAGTGTGATAATTCTGGGAGTTGGGTTGTCTCCATCTTGAACAGAAAAGTGCAATTCAAATTGCTTGCTGAAGTCACAGGGTCACTAGTGCACGCAAGCAGCATTGATCTGCTGTCAGTTCCACCCCCAAAACCACTAACCAGTGCTGCCTCCCAGGGAGATAAGATGGTGGATAGCAGTCCAGGCATTGGTCCAGCATGCATACTTATGATTTATAGTAATATGAAACAAGCATCGCATTTCAGGCATGACCTAGATTGCATTTGTTAGCTAGTTCTAAAATACAAGGTAAGATTTAGTAACCTTATTTATTTTTTCCCACAGTGGCTTAAAGAATGATTATAACAAAGAAACATTCACCTTGAAGCATAAAATTGATGAGCAGATGTTCCCCTGTCGATTCATTAAGATAGGTAAATGCATTTTTTCGGCATTCTGAGTAGAAAATAATCTCTTAGTCTTGTGCCAGTCTTGGCACTTGTGACTCCATTGTACTAGGAAAAGCATCCAAAGTAGTTGTTCCATTTCATGATCTTTTAGGCTGGTTTGGAACACAGTGAAGTCCTGTTACTAAGAAATAATAGCTACATAACATAAATCCTAGGGACTGAAAGCAAAATGCTGTAATTTTCAGAAATGCAGTTGTTGAGCCAACTAATTGCTGGAGAAGCTGCTTACTGTCCTACTATAAATTGCTATGTAGAGCTTAAAAAGACAATCATTAAGCTAAATACAAGTAAAAGTTCCTGTATTGACAGCTGTAGAACTTGGAAAAGTTTCTTTTTTTTTTTTTCTCCAAACTAATTCAACATAAAGCAACAGCAGAAGCCTTTGATTTGTTTTTGTCATCTTGCTACTCTAATCTTGAAGTCTCACTTCTGCCTAAAGATGCTGTCCAGGAGCAAGGAGGAGTTATACTATGTGATTTTTAGGATAGTTTCTCTGGAGAAGCTTGCTAAAGGGGAGTGTATGTGTGCAAATGATGTCTCGTTACTGTGACTTTTGATGGGGGCAGGGCTGTTTTTTTTTTTTTTTTTTTTCTTTCTTGCTTCATACATGAGAGTGTCTTAGAGTTGCCATTATTTATACTGGTTGGATATAATGCATTAATTTAGAGCCTTTCACCTTTACATAGGTAAGCAGGTTTATCTTCCCCTTCCTACCTGCCAAGACAGTAAAAGCATTACTGCTTTTATGCTGTTGAAGGTGAAAGACCGAGGAGGTAGCTGCTGAAAAATGGAATGAGATCCTTATTGACTAACTTAGGAGCTCAAGAGTGTTTTCAAGTGTTACGCAGTTCCTTTGCCAGGACTTTGGTGATAGCTGCTCCCTTGGTGCCCTTTGCTGGTGCCTTCACAGCTTTCTGAATCACTTCTCACATTGATCTGAGAAAGTGAAAGCATCAGTTTAGAAACCGAGTGATCATTTGTATGCTGTAAATCAGAGTGTTTCCCATTTTTAGAAAAGTGGAGAAATTGGTTGGTTGGTTTTGTTTTGTTTTGGGTTTTTTTGGCTACTTCTTTTGGAAGCATCTGGCATCCACTTGGCTTTAGGAAACCTGAAGTGGAGTAAGGAAATAGTTTAAGGCTGACAATGTCACGAAAGTTAAATTGATTTTTAACACTTACTGAAGCTTTTTGGACAGTGTTATAAATGCATATATATATATATATTTAATGGCTTACAAACAGCAAATAGTTACCAGAGATCTAAAAGGGTGAATAGAACAAATCCTAGCTACTGCTCTGGATGTTTAAATTGTATTCCTGCAGAATATATTCTACTTGAATGTTAAGAAGCATAGCACTGTACTGGAATTTGTTACGAAAGTGAAGTGCTGATGAATTCTACTACCAAGACTCTGCTCTGACTGACATGAGTTATGTTAGGGGTGGCTTGTTTTGTTGAAATGGCTTCCTTGCATAGCAATAAGTATCCTGCATTGCAAAAAGGCATGTTTCATTGTCACTTGCTCTCCAGTTATTGTTTGAGATTAATTTTCCTTTTTAGCTATATGAATATCCTTTCATTTCTTGAAGCATCTTCTGTGAAGAAATTCCTGTGCTAGCTCAAAAATTGAAATGATCTCTGGACTAACACCTATTAATTTCTAGTTGCTGCTAGCGTCATTTTCTTTATAAAGTTGACTGTTTTTTCTACTGTGAAACAACTGTAAAATGATGTTACGAAATTCTGTTATTTTTCAGGTTCACAGTGTGAATATGTTTTCAGTTTGTTAGAGTTTCCAAGCTGCTAGCCAAAGTAACTCAAAATTCGAAATACCGTGCTGTGTTCCTTGTCACGCTGCCAGTAAACACAAGGCCAAAATCTGCCCTTTTGGACTTGTAGAGAAGGACACTTCAGAAGTTTTTGTTATCAGTGAAGCTTGCATGTTTGGAGAAGGCGTTATTTAATTCGGCAGTCACTTGCATAAGGCATTTGCTTTATAATTCTGAAGATAGCCAGGTCTGTACACAGCTACCAACAGCACGACAGTGAGGGTCATTTATTTTTTTAGGGGGAAAGAGGAGAAATATGGCATGAGTGTATCTGTGAGATGCTGGAGAAGAACTTCCTAAAACTTCCGTTGCCCGTATTTCAGACTGGTAGGAAGCAGAAGAAATGAATTCCTTCTCAATTTGTGTCAAGAAGAGGCATGTGCTTCTTTCAGTTTAATTAGTTCGACTTCAGTTCCTTAACACTGAAATGCCCAGCTGTGGGCTTCTGACCTACTTGACAAGTGATTTCTCTGTTTCATGTAGCACCTCGTTAAAGAGCTTAGGAAAGGGAAGGAAGATATTTATCTGGAAAAAATAGTGAGGAAGAAGCTTCTTAATATATGTGAACTTTCTGACTCTTTGTTTATTTTCCTTTTTTTGTGGTTTCTCCAGACAGATTTTTTTGCCCTTGAAAGCAGAAGGTGTTGTAAAGAATGATTGCTGTGAAAGAGTTGGAAGACGTGCAGGATGTAATTCTTATGCCAGTTTGTTACTAGCATGGGATTTACTGAACTGAGGTTTTTGTGCATTAGAAATGAGCAGTGCTTTCTTGACGGATGTTTCCTACATGAATTCTATAGACTACATCTGTACCTGCGCGTTTTAAACATACGTTGTTTGTGTGACTGCTGCGTGTGGATGAGGCACAGAAATCAGATTGGGACATGTCATCTAAATGATTGTACTGCTTAGCATCTAATGTTTTCTGTAGTGTATAGGATGGCAATCTTTGTCAAGGCGTAACTTGCAATTATTGATAAATATCCCCTAAAATCGTTCTTGTGCAGATAAATACCTGCTGAAGTGACCTAAATACATACCTTCTGCTTCTGTTAAAGAGGTATTGATTTTTATTTTATTACTATTTTTTCCTCTCTGCGGGGCTCCTCTCGCTGTGTGGTGATGGTTCAGCTGGTCTGAACAGTTGTTTGCATTTCAGGGTGGATTGCTGTAGTACACGCAGCCAAAAGAACCGAGCTGAGATAGCTCGATGGTAAAAATTGAAGAAATATTCTAATGTTAGGCTTCAGGTTCATCAGCTTTGGTGGAAACATTTTTCTATTTCAAAGCAGTATGTGTTTGTTTGTATAGGAGGAGGAAAAAAGCAATATGGAAAAGAGAAGGCAGAATAAGTTGTGGTTCCTGCAAATACGTTGTGGGATAGGATCAGTAAGGCTGAGAAAGACCGCTGAGGTTATGTAGTCCAACCACTGACTCATCACCACAGTGCCCAGTAACCCACAAGGTGACCTCTTTGCCAGAAGTAGATTAGTCTGAAGTTCTGCTTTGTGTTGTTTCCTAATACTGTGGAGTAACTTAAACGATCAGACTTGGTTTTCTATGCCCATTTTATGCTAGGGAAGCATTCGTTCTGTGTTCCTTGTGCATTTTCACTTATGTGTCTTACTTAAAGTTTGAATACAGCGTGGAAGTCTTGTTGTTCGAATCAGTTTTTGTGGGGATCAGAACAGTGAGCAGGACTGCTGAAAGCTCTGAGTTAACTGAAGAGGGGTGTCAGTAAGCTGATTGTTTTGCATTTCTTTTGAGTGATAGCTACATAGCATCCTTATGTACATTGCTGTTCTTATTTAGGACTGTAGTTGGCTACTGAGGTGGGAGGGTGAATTGTTGATTGTACCGGAAGAAGCTGATTTAAGTTCTGAGAGCTGCTAAAAAGAAATATAGAGGTGGACTCCTGGTTTTTCATATTTTTTATTTTTCCTGGAAGGAGGTGGCAAAGCTGTAATATTTAAGTTTGGTTTTTCACCTCGTTAACTCAACCTTAAGAAACCGGCCTCAAGCTCACCATCGGGAGATTCATGGTCTCAATCCATTTGAGGTGGTCTGTGGCTTGGTTCAGTGTTTCAGCTGAAGAAACCGGTGAACAGATTTTGATTCTTTATAGCTGGATGAATACCAAATTTAGCTTCAGTTTGGCCTGTGTGTTCAGTTCAGAGGACAAATAAGAGGTTTTACCCTATGGTAATCTGTCAGTCTATCATCTTAATATGAGGAATGCCTGGATTGTTCACTATCTAGCATTTGGAAGTTTGTTGCCCTCCCAGGCAACATGAGAAAGCAATCACATAGTGACTGTCGATGCCTTCTTGTGTTTCTGTGCAGGGAGTGTAGTATCTTTTCATGTAGAACACACACCAGTTATTTCATCAGTTCTCATAGTCTCTCTGGTAACATCTTTGAGCTTACTGATATGTTTGAATTTAAAAGTAGTAAGGTTTTATGATATTAAGATAAAAACATCTGGCTTAGCTTTTTCTCTACACCAAAGAAGCTTATTGGGCAGAGTTCTCGTTGGGGAATTGCTCTGAGATCCTCTCACTTGTGATGTTGAGCAATCAAGTGGAAATAAACTATTTGGGATGATTTTAAAATCATGAAGAATTATATACTCGGAGTATCTTAGAGTCTTTTCTAAAAATCTGTTCTCCTGATGACTGTTCCCAGAAGCTGTTTTAAGTCCTTAGCAGTAGGTTTGTAGAAACAGCTTTTAAAATTAAGAGTACCATGCATTTGAACGTAGGCTCTGTGCCCAAATATATTGCGGAAAATAATGGATTTAACTTTGAGGTACAATTAAGCAACTAAGAATCTTTAACAGTAGCAACTTTAGAATGGATTTTGGGTTTCGCTTTCTCAGTGAGTATGTCAGCATACCCCTAGTTCAAGCAGTTAGTAATCTCACGGTACTTCCTAGTGGTTTGAAAGACAACTAGCAATTACTCTGTGGGAGGGATAGTTTCTATGGAAGGAAGTAGTGGACTCTGTGCTGTTGCTGGTAATGAATCATTCATCTCTAAATGCTGTCTTTCCTGTTTATCAGTTATGGTCAAATAGAAAGGATGCGGGAAAGGAAACCACTTGATTTCACTGAAAGTTTAAGTGTTCACATAAAAACTTTTTGGGAGTTGGAATTGTTCTGAAGCAAAACCAACTCTTAATCAACAGGCTAAGTTTGATAGGTCAATGCAAGAAGGTAGATGTTACAGCAGAGTGGTAGAGGAGCCTTAAGTGAGACGCTGCAATGTGTTTCACACTTAGTATGCTTGTCCTGATACCCAAATAAAACAGTATTGGATAAAAAAGCTGCATATGTTTAAGCTGTTTTTTGTTTTTTTCAAAAGAAGAAAAATTAGATGCAGCTTTTAAATTGGAAACTGACAGTTTTTCCTCCCTCTGTCCTCCACAACTTACAGACGTTACTAATTTTGTAAAATTCAAAATACGTGAGCTTCTTGTCTTCACTGTTAGGGAGAATAATTGCTGCTGACAAAAGTAGAAATAAATGCACTGTGAGAAGCAAACAGCGTCTCTAGTGTCCATTCAAAGCTTTTTGCCTCCTAGTTGTTCAAAATGATAGCATTTTTGCTCTTTTACTTAAAGCAAGCTTCTGCTTTGTAATGATCTGTGTTAATGTTGTTTAGCACGGGTTGCTTTAAATGACAGCTTTAACATGGTGTGATAATTTTGCCTAAACTTTCTTAAACTAAGACTTCTATAAAGTCATAAATACTGAATTTTATTTAACTTTCAGAAGTGTACTGTTTATGTAGTACTATGTGTAGCCTGTTAGGACTTGTGTAATGTTTGGTATTTATGTGTCCTTTTTCTCCTTTTCCTTTCTTCTCCAGTTCCACTGTTATCCTGGGGACCTAGCTTCAATTTTAGTATCTGGTATGTTGAACTTAATGGCATTGATGATCCAGATGTGGTCCAACCGTGCCTCAACTGGTACAGCAAGGTAGGCCTGCATTTTAGGTGCCTGTTTGCTTGAGGATTTGTCATTTCAGAATCTCGTGAAGCTTCTCTTACTGGAATTATGTGACCTTTTCATTCCTTGAATATCGGCTTTTGAAACAACAAACACACATAGATAAAACTGAAACCACGTGGCTGACTTTGACTTTGAGTCTTTTTATATCTGTAGCTTTTATAAAAGAAAACAGCAAAAACCTGCTAGGTAGCATCACAAGAAAAACTAAAAGGAATGTGGAGTCAAAAGGGGACAATGTGATTAAATTCATGTTTGCATTGGAAACGAAAGAAGTCTTAAAGATTCCGCTTCTGTCTCTGCTTCCCTTTTGATTAGTCTTTCTTTTACCATGCAGTTAAGCTCTTCTGCAGAGCTATATGTGAGTCTGGAGGCATCTGGGTTAACTATGTAGCTTTTGTTACAGGGTATGGGTTTGTTTAAAGAGAATCCTCCTTAGTGTCTTAACTTGCTGCAGATCTTTGCACTTCTCATGTTTCCCTCCTAATATCTTCTGCTGAATATTCTGAAATTGAGGGGAGCTGACACTGCTGGACTATGAGATGATTTATGCCATTTGTCACTTTGGACAGAAAGTTCAAGGGTTTCTAAATGTTATTTGTATAAGCTGTACGTAATTGGGTACAGCAAGTGTTCTGTGGGAGAATGAATTGAAAACCAGAATTTATTTTAGCGCTATTTTTACTGCATGTAAGTTCTCAGTAATACCGTGTGAATTTCGTGAATTGTTCCAGAAGACATTCTTCCCAGTTGAATAAGACTGAGCAGCAGAGCGTCATATCTCTGCTTCCAAAATGAAGTCAAAAAGGAGATAGGCAAAAAGGAGAAGGCTGTTGATGGTAATATTCGGACTCCTTCCCCACTGTATGGTGCTGCCAGTTGAATTAGAGCTGGTAGTACGGCCACGAGGTTTCTTTACTAATTTGTAAATATTTGCAGCAACATCACAGGCTTCTTTCTGGAGGATTTCAGAGCAGTACTAATAGTCACAGGAGAAGCTGTAGCTGCTTTAATTGTGAAGTGTTATTTTGGTCATTAGGCTGCTAATTTCTCATGTTTGGTTAATAGAAGCTGCTGATGGTTTTCTGTGCTTCTTTCTCCTAACTCTGCACATGGTGGTCTCTGACATTTTTCACTAGTTGCAATTATGAGGTTATGATTTTTCTTTCAAATCTTTTTTTTTGGTCAAGAACAGTCTGATGTTGACATCCGTTTTGTTATGTCTTATCCCATGGAATCTGCACTTCTCATGGTCTGCATGTATGTAGTTACAGCTTCTTCAAGGAGTGCCAGCATTGTTCTTCTAAAGCTTAGAGCCCTAAAGCAACAAGACAGAGACTTAGTCATGACTGTTTGGATCAATTGCCAAATTTTTGGTGATCATTGTGTGTCAGTGTTCTCTTCTCCCACGGTCTGCTGTTACCAAAGCCATGTAGGAGGATATAAGCTGACCCTTATGTGGGGAAGGGCAGCAAAGTTATCTGTTTTTTCTATTTGAGGCAGTGCAGGTATTATCTTGCATATTCTTGAAAGTCTGAAGGATTTGGAAATCTAATAATTGTTCTCTATTGCCTGAGACATCAGACAAGAAGGTTCTCCATGAAGTTGCCCATCCTTTTTGTACTGTGTGCTTCAACCAATAAAATCTTCCTTTTCCTAGGGGAATAGGATTAGATGTGACACATAATAACTGGAAGAAAAAAAAAAAAAGTAGGCTTTCTCAGTTGGCTCTTCACTCCTTTTTCCTTATTGGTTAGCTCACCTGACAGCTTCCTGCAGGCCTTACCATGTCAGTTTTACTGAAGAGTAAGCATACTTTGGGATCTAAAAAGTAGCAGTTTATGGATGGCTTTCATTTTTGTTTTTCATAATGAACAATGTAAAATATTTTTAATTGTAACTGTATATTTCACAGCGTTAACATCTTAGTGTCATGCTCTAGTTACGTTTTTAACCAAAGTAATTATTTACAGATTCAGATCAAAGCCATTCTTTGATTTGTGATCTTTTTAAGCTTGCATGAAGCATGCAAAGAGGAGCCTTTTATATACTTTTTAGGCTCATTTTTTTTTGCGTAAAATATTTTTATACTTAGCTTCTGTAGTACTACTGTGGTGTCAATCAAGTACCAACTTCTGTATTAAATCAAGTGGCCAATTGCCAGTAGTCAATCCATGTTTCATAAGCCAGGCTTATTGATCATGAAATGCTCAGTAGCAGTACACAAAGTCTATACTTTTAGTCTAATGGCCAAGTTACAGGAGTTGAAGATGCAGAAGTTTGTTGTTGGAGACATACATCTGTCCTTTTGCTTGCTATCCCTTGGAGCAACAAATAATGTAGGGTGGTGATGAATGCAAGTGAGCATTTGCTTAAAGTCAGTGTCTTAAGTATCTCTTTAAAAAAAAAAAAAATTAGATAAATCCATCTGTGTTCCAAAGCTGTGTTTTAGTTTTAATACTCCTTTGTCAGTGGCCTTGGCCTTTCTCGTGTGGGCTGGGAACTGATTTTCTAAAAATGCATAGTTCTGCTTATTTGCAGCTGTATAATACTGATGGATTAAGAACTAAAAATACAGCACATGGCCGTGCTTCTTTTTAGCTGTGTTTCAGTTGTAGATTCTTGCTATAGAGCTGTTATTTCAGAAGCCCTAATTTGTTCTGAATGTTGGTGTAAGTTTCCAGGCTTTCAGAAAGATTCTGTTAATTTCAATTTCATACAAAGAACTTTGAGCAATAGCAGCAGTTTAAGAATAAAACCTCTTCTTTTATTCTGATCGCTCTTAGAGATGCTTAAGTTGGATTTGTTTTTTACCACACTAAATGATGTGTGTTAAAGATGAAAATCAAGAATTACATATTTTTAATGCGTTAGAGCTTGGGTTTGAGGGATATACATAAAATAAGTCGTTCTGGATGTCTGAGCTACTTATAAACATACAAATCTGTGTCACGCATATTGTTAGCAGCTCTGAATATGCAGTGGATGACTTGGTACGTTAACTGCGTGAGCTGTAGTTCTTAAATAGAATTTACTACTTCCTCATATTTCTGTACCTTTATTTTTGATGCAGTGTGGGTTTCCCTAGCCTTTCTCACTTTCCCACAGTTGAGTGGGACACGGACAGCTTTGGCTAATCTGTAGTATGAAGGCAGGGGTTCCGCTTTAAGACTTGTGGGGAATATTTTGAAGGTAAAATTCTGGCATGCGTGTAAATACTTGCAGTCGTTGATCTGAAATCCTTGCAAACTTGCAGGATTTGTGGTTAGCCGTCCGTTCTGCTTTTCCATTGCAGGAGCGGTGGTCATTACAAGTATTTATATTCTAATGTTTTTTTTCCTTCTGCTTCTAGAAAAGCTGTGACCTACTTACTCTTCTAAATTATTTTGTTACATAAGAGTCATACAATCAAATTATGTAACACTGATAGCGACGGCTTTTTCCTGCCCTGTATGCTGTGTAGGCCTGAAACAGCGGGACCAAGCAGATGGGGGGGAAGTGATGGTCACTTTGGAGATCTGGGACACTGCAGTCTCTTCTCGTGTACCTATTAAATTGCATTCATGATATGAAGCTGTGTAATTTCTATACTGTTGAAAAGTAAATGTCTGCGCAGCTTCTAATGTCTGTGATGGTGTTCCTCATCATCTCATAAGCAAGTTACGTGCAGTGCGTAAGAACCCATCTCCAGACTGATTCATAGGTAGATGCCAACAGTTCTAGTAAAAACAAAATCTGCATGTCTCATAGATTTTCTTGTGTTCCAGTAGTACCGTGAACAGGAAGCCATTCGCCTTTGCTTAAAGCATTTTCGTCAGCACAACTACACTGAAGCTTTTGAGTCGCTGCAGAAGAAAACCAGGATTGCTCTGGAGCATCCTATGTTGACAGACCTGCATGACAAACTAGTGTTGAAGGGAGACTTCGATTCTTGTGAAGAACTGATAGAAAAAGCTGTGAATGGTAAGACTCAGAGGTGGGTGGGGATATTAAAAACGAAACAAAAAAACATTGAAGTGTTAGTGCTTTCAGTATGAATGTATGTAACAGGAGATCTGTCTATTCCATGTGCTGTTTCGCAGTGTGGTGTCCTATCAAGTTCTGGATTTTATATGCATGATGAAAGCCAAAAATTAATTGAAAGTGAAATAACTTATCACAACTACATTTGGAGCCTCTCTTTCGCTTGATGACAAATTGATGAATTTAAAATCAGTAAACATAGGTTCTTCATGCAAGTGGCTGGCAAACTGGAGGTGGACATAACTATCAGAAGTAAACTGGAGTTACGAGCATAGAAAAGCAGCAAGGGAAACAGACACGTAGAACTTGTGTTCTCAGTAATGATCTTTATCATGATTTCTGGTTAGGACTTACCAGTTGGTGGGTGTTTCAGCAGAACTTCAGCTGTATTTGAGAATGCTTTCTTTGTGAAGAAAGTACTCCCTGGAGGATGTCTTAAGAGAAGTCATAATGATTGGAAGCAGAGGCTGTCTTCACTTACCGGTTTCTTTGTAACTACTATTAATTTTTTACTTGGAACCTTTCAACTTAGAAGCACTGTGTGTAAACAGCTTTCATCTCCTAAGATGGAGGAGATTTACTTTCTGTTGATAGAATGGGATACAAGAATTGAGCTTTTGCAGTGAAGTGTGTCTCCAAAGATCTGTGCAGTGGTTTTGGATTGCAATTTGATAAACAGAGGTACTCTTGCCTGTGGGTGTCGTGCTTTTTGACTATGTGCAATTGCTATTCATGGGAAACCTGCACTGGCATAAGAGGTCCTTGTGTCTGTAGAGTTTGAGACTAAGTGGGCCAATGTAATGGGTGTCTGGCGCCAAAGGTTTGTGTTGGTGGTTTTGTTTTTGTTTTGTTTTAAATTCTGGGCAAATCAATCATTTTGAAATATCTCTTAGAATAAATAGCAGCATACATGATTGATCACCTCTTTCTTGGTAAAAGCACTGAAGTTGCAAGTGGTTCTTAGGATGTGATAGAAATGATAGATTTAAAATCAGCATCACAATGCTTTCATGAGGAAGCTGTTCAATAGAGCACAGTTTTAGGGAGTTTACTGCAACAGGCTGTCAAATGGCTTTCTGTGAGTTTTGACAGAAGATTTCTGAACTATATAAGCAGAACAGCTCGACTCTGCTGTGTGCTGAGCTCCCTGAGCAGCTGCAAGCATTGAGCCTGAGAAAAGCCTGTGTTCGTCCTTGTCCTCCTGAGATGTAGAAGTGTTGTTGGCTTGGAAGGGAGTGTAAACAGCTTCCTGCAATGTAGAGGCATTCTTCAACTGGCAGCTTTGTGCTGAATCTAAGACCACGTGAGAGTTGTAGGAGGAAAGAGCAGTGGGGGGGCTGTGTATGGCTCTTGCTCTGGCGTTGCAGTGTTACTCCAAGAAGGGAATGTCAGAGGGAGCTTATCAGCCCACCAAACTGAGGCAGTGGGATGCTGTATGCTGATGATTATGATCATGCCAAGGGATCAGTCTGTTGCCTTGGCTGTGGCTTCATCTCATCAATGCTTAGAGGCTTTCTTCTTTCCATCTCATTGCAGACTGTAGTAGAAGCTACTTCTTGAATGGAATTTCACTAGAGATCTAGAATGTGCTGAATAAGGTCCCTCAAAAACTGACCTTTTTCCCCACAGGCACTAATGAATTGATTGTTTGTGGCTTTGTTTTGCCCTGTTGCATATTAATTCTTCTCACCACATAATGCGTAGCATACTGAATTTATTGCATCCAGCAGTTTTCCCCCAAGACTACAACTGAGGAGGTGCTTCTAGGCCTCCCCAGTATACCGAGAGCAAAATTGCTGTCTGTAGTGCTCAACTTTACCAGGTGTGGAAGTATGGACAAAAGACTTCCCTGGTAGAAAATTCCAAGTCTGGTACTGTACTGACAGATAGACAATTCAATGTGAATAATCCTCTTTCCCTTGTTCCTGTAATCGTGTCCCTTTTTAGAGGCTGGAGAACTTTGCATTTTTTAAGCAACCTAGAAAAATAGTGTGGTTTGTTTTATCGCTCCTTTTTTTTGTTGTTTTGTTCCAGCAAGTACAGAAACAAATATTTATAGCAACACACTATGGGTAGCTTAGCAGGAGAGTCTCCAAGCAGCAGAGTGAAGTTTCCTTACTGTTTCTGAGGGACAGAATAATATGCGTGGGTGTGTTTATATTTCTTCCTTTTAATCTAGTACCTGGCTAGTTGAAGTTAAATGTCAGTGTATGCATCTCCCATTGCTCTGTTGCTTATCCTTAATGATTTTGCTTGCCTTTGAATACGTTAACCTGCCTTCCCCCTTCCCTTCTGCGTTTCTTTTTGCTGTCTTCAGCTTTTGTACCCATTTAAAGCTCCCAGCACCCTTCAGTGTGAAGTGATATCTGTCTCAAGACACTGAGGCTGCATCCCATATTTTCTGTAAGCTGGCAGAACTTGAACTGGGTCAATCCCTGCTCAGGACAGTATGTGCCCTCGCCCCTTGCTTGGTGGCACTTGGTGCTCGTGTTGCCACGCGGTAAGCCAGGTCAGGGAACTGATTCAACTACAGTGGGGGGACTTAAAAGGGCAGGAACTAAAAGCTTGAAACTGCTGCTGAAGGAGCTTGTCCATGGTTAAATCAGTTGACTGTCATAAGGCAAGTAGCTGAGCACACTTGGTATCTCACAGCTGGGTCTCTCCCTTTCTAGCTAGGATGGGAATAGATGTTTTCAGTCTTCACCGCTTTCTCCTACAGTATCAGCTCCCTGTGGTCCTCTGCAGTTGTCTATCCTTGCTTTGTTCTCGATGTCTCTGAAGTGCTTCTGTTTGAAAAAGGCTTGTTTGCACCCAGCGCCTCACTTTCTTGGTAGCTTGGTTGTGCAGTCTCCTAGCTTGCTCCTGAAGGTATGGGTTTTGTAACTGAGCTCTCCACTGCATTTTCTTGTGAAATAGATGCAGATTAACTTCAGTTCTGTGTATGATGAGTTAGTGTAGTTGAAGTGTAGAGTTAATTGAGATACACAGATTCTTAAATTATCCCTGTTACGGAACAGTTTGCTCTTTGAACAGACTGGACATGAATATTTGAACTGCTGACCTCTTGCCGATCTGAGAGTTCGTAGCCTTAAAGGAACCAACAAAGTGCAGTGAGGTTGGCAGTGATACTGCTTGCTCCATGCAGCCTAAGGTTTGATTTGTAGGGGCTAATGTTTGCAGCGATAGGTGTTTAAAAAGTGAAATGTGATACATCTTTTGTAGGCTATTTCCATAGGCTTAGTCATGTAGAAAAAGAGTAGGTGGTCAAGAATTAGTGCTAGCAGAGCTAAACTCTCATTCTTTTGCATTGCTAATGGTGAACGCTGTCTTCCACCTCACATCACCAGATGATTTCTTTTGAGAGCTCAGTGGCAGGCAGCCACACTTTTCCCGCAGATTCTTTTGACTTGTGCATTAGACTTAGAAAATGGGCAAATGGAAACTCTGGCAGCTGTCTGACTTCCGCTCAGAAATAAAAGGTTCCTTAAATCTCAGCTGGTTCACAGACTTGGTTCAAATGCTTCACATTTGGATTCATTCCTATAGCTTTCAACCAGCCTATACTGAAGAAAAAAATCTGCTTAGTATTCCTACAGAGAGCATGAGGAGTGCAAATTACTTGGTGAACTGGTTGCAACTACTGGAGGCATAGAAGGCTGCTTGAAATGGATTGAAGATCTGCTAGGTCTGCTGCATATTAGTATTCCAGGGACTCATTTGTTCCTTCTGGCAAGTCTCCTATCTGTACGCAGTACACTGTCTGTCTGCTTACACATGGGCCCCATGCAATGAATAAGATGGTGATTTACAGCCTGAAGGCTCAAATGTCTCCCAAAACTTGGGGTGTACAGGAACACAGGAACATCTGTATTCTTCTGGAAGCTGTTGACAAACTTAATTTTAGCTTCAAATACTTTGGAGTTCATGTTAGAGAAATTTTAGGCTGGTTTGCTGCTCTGTGTTACACTGGGATAGATGGAGGAGAGAAGCTTGCTAGGGATTCAAGGCCTATGGTAAGTAGATCACAGAATTGTGGAATCCTAGGGGTTGGAAGGAACCTCTGGAGATAATCGGGTCCCACCCCCTTTACAGTAGGCTGCAGATGGTGTGGTATGATGTACAGTGGTATGATTTCTGTAGAAGCAGGTATCTTGTAGGAGAGCTAACCTTGCATCCTGATTGTTTTCTCTTATTAAGAGGAAAGTAAGAGGATGTCATAGTTTTGAGGCTTGAAAATTCATGCTTTCTCATTGCTTTCACATCTTAAAGAAATTACATGGTGGCTGGATTCTTGTCTGACCTCGTCTTTTTCTGCTTCAGATTTTGTTTGGAAGCATTTTCTGACTATAAAAACTTTATGATTTTATTTTACAAAGAAAAACATCTGAAAATGTAGAACCCCCAACAAAACAAATCCCCAAACTCCAGGAGTCATGGACAAAATGTTGCTTTGAAGTTTTTCATGCCATTAATAGTGAAGTGAGTAGATTTCACTGTTTCTAGCTAGATGTGCGTGTTGCCTAAAATTAAGCTTAGTACAATTTTCATTTGTTTCTGATCAGCTTCACAAAGTTAAATATTTTGGTCTGTAGTGTTTGTTTTAATCTCTTCTGGGTAATGTGTAATTGATGGACAAAATAAAGCCTTCAGTTACCAGATGAAATGCACTAGGTTTAACTATTGTGAAGTTCATGTTGTTACATCCAAAATGCGTCACAACTTGTTGCAAAGTGTTTGTAAATAGTACAAAATAAAAGTACCATCTTTGGCTGCAGTGCTACAGAGTAAACATGGACATGGAGATGAGAGACCACAGGGCCTAAGGAAACTACTTCTTTTAAAGGTTTACAATTCACACTTTTTCTACAGTGAGCTTGAAATTTATTTTAAACTACTGATTCATTGGAAACAGCTGACAAACATAAGTAGGCCTGGATCTGATCTTCAGTGCCTTGCAGAAACTTTAGAGACTTTTTGGTCAGCAGCTCTATTCTGGATAGAGACACAAGGAGTGTGCTAGAAGTCTGGCATCAGATACAGAATCCACCTAGAAATCCTTTTTTCTTTTTTTTTTTCTCCTCTTCTCCCTGTGGTGTCAGACAGGTGGTGATTCAGCTCCCAAAACAAGCTGCTTCTGGTTTGTGGTACAAGTAGAATGAATGTGGAACTGCTCCCAGCAGAAAGAAACATTTCTGGGAAGCGAGCTGGAGCATTTCCAAACCAGTGTCCCATGGAAGACAAGAAGCATTATTAAAAGAGGCTGAAAGCACAGTAGGGGAGAAGTATCATATCTTGACAAGTGCAGCCTGTGGGTGTTGAGCATGGGAGAGAGGTTAAATCACCCTTTCGGATCATATGTGGTGTAATTCATCCTCTTGAGCTATTTATGTCCAATTATCTATTGGCTGCCATAGGGATAAATACAGTTTTGTCTTTGGACTTAAAGACTGGAAAATGATAACCAGGAGGCTGAATTTCTATCTAGGCTCGTGGCTAGTAAAATCTGACTCAGTATGGAATTGCTTACAGTGCATACGTTTGTTCTGTTGGCTTTTCTGAGTCGGAATTCATGAAATCTCAAGCCTCTTGTGTTTTATTCCACCTTTATTAATGCTGAAGAAATCTGAGTAACAGTCCCAGTCTTAAAACTGAAACAAGCCATTCTGCATATGCTGAGCAAACTTCTGATTTTCCTCAATTACCAAATACTAGGAGAGCTCATGTTCTTGACTGTAAGACAGGTAAGAGTAAAATCTGCCCTGCTTTAACGGAGTAGTAAATCTGAAAAACTTGCAGAACAGAGTTGAAGAAAGTTGAAAGCAGTTTTGTGTTTTAAGACCAAATTCAGTACTTTTTAGGAACTCTTGAGTGCCTTTAGTTTTCCTATTAGGTGGTTTCTAAATAGAGTATTCATATTCTCCCAGGAAGTCCTTGCTGGCTTGAGTTTTAATTAAAACTGGATTTCAGTCGTGACAAAGTACAGGATGCCAGGAAATGCTCTAAAATATCCTCTGAATGTTGTGTCACGCTTACCAAAGATTCTTACCTTTTTTGTAACTAAATAGGTACATGGGCAGTAAAGAATGATCTTTTTTTTCCCTCTGTGCCCACCAAGGGATTTGTATAAATAAATGGAGGCATTAACAAATGTTACGTTCTTACCTCAAAGTCACAATTACTGGGGTTGGAAGAACTGAAAAGTGTTACATAGAACTTGGTAATTTCATTTTTCCTTTCACTGCTGAGGAATGTAAAAGTGATTCCTGAGCTAGTTGGCTAGGTCTGATTCTAGTGAAGAGCAAAGCTGTTAGGAACATGATGAAGGATTTCTGAACGCATCCTACCCTTGACCGAGCAGCCTATGTGCGATGTTCTGTTTATTATAAATATTATGTAAATCTGTCATTGGAATTCTGAGTCTGCTCCTGTTAGTAGTTATAGTACTAGCGGTGTAAAACTGGCTGTCTGAACTCATTTTTTTTTTTTTTCTAGTACTGTACAAATGCTTGTAATAAATCTGTCTATAGATGGTGAGGTAATGGGTGGGATAGAGGCAGGTGGGTGTTAAGGGAAGCAGCGATCAGGAGACTGGCCACCAGCAGTCTAGTAGTTTGAGATGCATGCAGAAAGTTAGGGAGTTTTTCTTAATGAAGTCATTTGAAAACTGGTACAAGTTTATCTCAGTGCTTGTTAAGCTCTTCTCTTCGGAAGAAGAGTTTAAAAAATTAAATATTTGTCTAGTAAACTCATGACACGTGTAGAACACAATTAGGATCTGACCTCTTGATGCGAAGCAAATTACATCTGGTAAGTGTATAGAGGGAGAGAAGACTGCCCATGGAATGTGGCTAGAGTGCTGCAAGTTACTGCTTCTTACAGAAATGCTGCAGTTGGCATATCTGGCCAGTGACCTCATGTTTCTTCTGTTTATCTTGTTTAAGTCTCTGAGGAGAGTGTAAGCTATTATTTTGTTTCCCATCCAATGCTTGGTTGTCCCCTGTTGTAGCTTTTAATCTGCTTTTCTTTTTCAGGTGAAAATCCAGAGATACTATCTGACCTAGTTTTGAATTAACATGTGTTAAAATGGCTGAATTTGATGTGCATTGGCAACTTCTCTTTTGATTAAATAAGGGGGTGGGAATCTATTCTTAACTAAATACATCACATTGGAGATTTACAGACAATTGGCATGACCTGGCAGGCAGACTTTGTAACTGTTTATTGATATAGTAATGAGTCCTCTTCTTATTGTAGTGCTTCCTCATTAAGTTCATTAGCAAGTTTAACTTATGTATGGAGAAATTATTTAAAATGAAGGCATCATAGAGTCATTAAGGTCATCTAGTCGAACCATCAACTCATCACCACCATGCCCACTAAGCCATGTCCTTCAGTGTCTGCAAAGGACCAACAGAAAGCACTTTCTGACTTTCTGGGGTGTGCATGGTATGACTCTGCAGTGCAAGGTCATTGCCATGACAACATGTCAGAGTTGTTAGGGAGGTAGTGGAGCCCATTGCCTGACGGGATGGTCCTGCTTTGCTGACAAATGAGCATACCTTTTGGAAGAGTATACTGGATTGACTGCTTTAGTTTTTTGTTTTTTTTCTTTTGCTACAGTTGAAATATAAGCCTTTTATATAGCAGGAGTTTTGTTTTGCAGATGGCTTATTCAATCAGTATATCAGTCAACAAGAATACAAACCTCGCTGGGGACAGATTATCCCCAAAAGCTCCAAAGGTAAGGATTTTTCTAAAGCTATAGCCCTCATACTACTCGTTCTTTCATGCTCTTTTCTGGATGTGGAGCAAGACGTTGATACAAGAAGGCCTTTTGTAGGACAGCTGATCTGGAAAATGTTATCATCTGTGAAAAATTTGCTATTTGTCTGCAGATCAATGAAATGTAACCTGGTCTCTGGTTGAATAAGGAATGCTCCAAGAACGCTAGCTGTCACTTCAAGGATAACTAATCATTTCACGAGTAAAACTCGGGCTATGTTACCTGTAGGATTCTGTTTAATGTGTGGAGTCATCTTAAAGGGAGATGTACTGCTAAGAGTGGCAAATAGCTGCATTATCTTAACGTGGAATACTTCAGACTTGAAGCGTATCTTTTGAAATCTTTATCTACTGTACAGTAAATCTAAACTGCAGAATCTACCCCCAGATATTGACTACAAAGGACAAAAATGACTGTTGTGCAGCAACTGCAGGATTCAAAGCACCAGTCACCAAGCATGGAGCCCCATCCCTAAACTTCCTGGGGAAGGGTTATGTATGAATATAAACAGACATATCTTCCAGTAGAATGTGGATTATCTTTCTAATATTGCTTCCCTGTCCTGAACAATTAAGAAATCTGAAGTGGCTGGAAAACTACTTTGACTGGACAGTTGGAATACCTTTATGTGAGAACAAATAATTGGTGCAAAGCTAACTGTTATATCCACACCATTAGCCCTTTGCTTCACTCCGTTGGGTACAGCACTGTGTTGTTTGAGTATCTGTTCTCACTTGTCTGCCTTTAGGCAGCATTGGGTGAGAGATAAAGGGAGAGCAAAAGATTTTCAGTGTTCCCACTACTGGAAAGTTTCAAAGGTAGCTCAGGCCTCATTTGTGAGGACCTGCATGCTTCAGGAACTCTGTGGATCCTTTGGAAGGCTCCTAGAATTGCAGTAGAGTACTGTGTTCGCTTCAGTTATTTATTGGAGCAGTCAGCAGATAATTGTACAGTTTTATTTTGAATTTTACAATGTGTGGAAGAATACTAACTGAAGGAAGTGTTAAAGTTCAAAAATGATGAGTTAAGTCACGCTGCTTTTGTATAGCACTTGAACTATACGCGAAGTTCTATCCTTTCTGTTTAAGGTCTTATAACAGATGGCATTCTTTCACTCCTCCTTTTTTTTTTTTTTTTTTTTTTAAAGGTGATGGGGAAGACAGCCGACCAGGGATGAGAGGAGGCCATCAGATGGTTATAGATGTTCAAACAGGTGAGTAGTTACTGATTTCTTTTCTCAAAGAATTTAGTTACCTAATGAGATTTTTCACACAACTATTGCTAATGTATTCTTTTGAGAATGCCTTAATTTTAATTTTTGGAGAAAAATTGTACTTTTGAATAATTGCATTAAATCATCTACTTTCTTTGCCTGGAGCATATTCCAATTGCTTTTCCCACTTGCTTCTTCCCTGCTAATACCCCATTGGGCCTCTAACTCCTCACTACTTCACTAAGAAGCCAAGAACAAGTGGTTTAAATAATTTCTGTCTTTCTTCCCCTTTTGAGCAGATGCTTATACAGGAGAAATTAGGGATGATTATTTCCCTTATCTCTCCTATATATCATCTGCTTTGGAATAGCACTTGAGGAATAAATCTGATGTGCTGGAGTATTCCTCATATTTTGGTTAGAGTGGCTTCTGACTTCTGCTATTTTTGTGGAGGAGGTTCCATTTAAATATAATTTATTTTATTTACTTTACTTTTTATGAAAACGCTTTCAGTAGCAGTTTAAAAAATGGTTCAACCTCTGTTTTGCAGAGCCCATAAAGAGAAGAAAGGAAGTTATAGGTAACAGTTTTGATGAACTCTGTACTCTATAATTTTCTGTAGCTGTGTCTTCTATTTAATCAGATTTCTGTAGTGCGTCATTCCTGACTGAAGTGACTGTTCACTTAAGCTTCCCTGCCTGCATCTTTGCTAAACAAATAATTTGTATGAGTAATGGAGCTTTTCTTAGGAAAGAAGAAACAAGATCAGGGTTGTCAGAAGCAGAGAGTAATACAGGGTGGCAATGAGGGAGTTGGCAAAAAAACTGCAGTAGCTGTCTATCTTGTGGTCATATTGAGAGGGATTGAAGCATGTGACAGGATAGTACCTTCAAGAGTAATTTGCTAAGTCATAGTGAACAAGCAAAAATGCAGGAGTCACTGCAGTCTTTGGCTGGTACTCAGTACGTAGTTTTTTGCTGTGGAGAAAGCACTCGAGTTATTTTGTATATGAAAGCAAACTTTTTTTGGTGGAAGATTCATTAGAATAAAATGCTGCTGGAGGATAGCTGGTGTCAGCTCTACAAAAGAGGCTGTGAACGCTCCCTAGTGGTCTTAGTGAGTAAGTAGCAGTGTCTGTTTCACAAGCATGCTGAAGAAATGCCAAACAGTCTGGCAGTGACAGTCCTTTAGACCTGCTGAAAGCAATAGAATGATGGTAGCATGAGTCTTCGTTTCCATTTCTGTTGGTTCTTAAGTCTTATTAAGCATATCATCTCTGCATTTCACTTATCATCTGTGTCAACAAAGCAGTATAAAGCACAGATATTTTTTTCCTCTTTTTTTTTTTCTCCCCAATTGCTTAAAACTGGTTGGAGAGCATCCACGGAGAAAGAGTCTCAAGGTGTGAGAAGTGGGTTCCTGCATCATGTTAGTCCCTTTTTGATGCAGCTCTCCAGTGGTGACAGAATATGCTCCTTCAGAAAGTTTTACTGTGGAACATTTAGGAAGTTTGGGAAGTTGCCCTTACTTTTGCTTCCAGGCCCACTGAGGCTTGTAAAAGCTTGTATGTTTTTGAGATTAAAAGCTTTGCCATGTAATTTAGCTTACAAACAGGCCAGGGGAAGTTCTTGGTGCTGTTTGTATTCTTAAAACCAGCTGCTGCTGACTGCTTGAGTTTTCTTTTGAACATAGGTAGCATTTAGCGAGACTGTGGGAGTTTGGCCAGTTAGGTCAGGATGTGTTTTACAGGCTGGAATTGGTCTCCCTGGCCAGCCATGAGCAAATCAAGTATTAAGAGAAAAAGGAGCAGCAGCACACTTGCAGATGTCATCCATTCCTCACAAAAAAACCAAAAACCAAGACCAGGCTTACATGAATCATGAGAATTTTATTACATAAAAGTAGCAAGTTTTGGAAGCAAACTTTAATCACTCATGCCCAGGTCTGCTGTAGCTGTGAATATAGCTGCAGCTGGTTCTGCTTTTTTGATTTAACCTCAGGGAAATATTAACCAGTTGCTACTGATTACAATAATATACATTTGTTTTTACTAAGTTTTGTGTAACGTAGAGCCTGCCAGATGCATATATGTGTTAATGTCAGGATAGAGGAGATGAGGTGGTAAGCAGCTGAGCTAGATCTTGAGTTACTGATAGTGATTCAGTCTGCTGAGTCTCTCAGTTTCTACTGAGTTTCTACTCTTAGTTTCAGGTAGGGTATAGTCAGACTTGGTGCAGGCTGACTTGTAGCATGTTTTGTCTTCCAATTAGAATAGGCTGACGGTAACTAAAAGAGCAATTATGGCATCTCTATTGGCATACGGTAACTTGTAGTGGTGTAGCTCACTTCTGTCTGATGTTTATGCGTTTAATACTTACTGCAGATGTCTTGGAATAAGTAGAGTGTTCTTTGTGCTTTGAAGAACTAATATAGCATATTGAAATGAGGATGCAGGCATTTTGGGGTGTAGAGCTTGCCTTCTACATGAAAAATTTGGTAATAACTCTAACAGTTCTTCCAGACTTCTATTTGTATTAGTGCTCAGATGGAAATCATCTGGGTGGCAGAATTAGGAAGTTGTTCTTGGTATGCTTATAGAGAAATATGAGGCACTCCTAGTTATAGTTGGAAACTGCTGTTGCACGTGTTAAGACTCTAGACTTCAAATGAAAACAGAAGGATTATGTTTCTGCTTCTTGTGTAAGGTACTTGTCTTATGTAGGTCTCTGTATGAGAGGCTAGAGAGTTTTCTGCTCCCTGTTCTGAGGAAGGAGAAGTGTTAGGCTAGTCAGAACTGGGGGCTTAGATTAAAAATACAAACAGAAGCATTCCCAGAACACCTAAAGTGCAAGTAACCCCAAAGCTGCACAAGGGCATTCTTTCTAAAGTGAGCTGAACATCAGCCATGAAAACCTTATATGATTTATGTAGGTCCTGGTGAAATTTTCAAGCATTGAAGTGCAGGCTTGTATATAATGATATTGCTTCCCAGATGCATTAAGTGCTGATAGAGTGATTGCCCAGTGTAGTTCCAAAGAGAGCAGGTAGGCATCTGTTCAGCACTCCTTTCTTGATTAACACAGCTTTAATTATGACCCCTCAGGACTTTCTGTAGTTCAGTTATGACATGTTTTGAAACAGCAACTCTGGAAAAAAGTGAGAACAGCTGAGCAGTGTGCCACATTCAGGTTTGAAACTTCTAATCTACGGTTTAGGGGAGTCCTGTGTTTCGGATGTCTGGCTTGTAATTCCCTGGGTAAGGTGGAGTTTTTTTGTCTGTCTTTACAGAGGAGGTACAGTTTTATGGCCTCTAGAACCATGTAACTTATTTTGGTAACAGAATGATGGAGGGTTTTTTAGGATTTGAAAAGAAAATGAACTAGTATTGAAGTTATTGGAATTAAACAACTCCTTGGTAATATATCCTAATTCTTTTCAAGATTCATCATTATTTCATTTAGATAAAGCCACCTTATGTTTTGTCTCAGTTGTGTCAGCTTTGTCTGTTTCTCCTAACTATGGCAACTGAAATGTATTATAAAGGAAAATATTAGTGAAATGATCTTTATCAGTGTTTCTGCTACCTCTGTTCAGTCTCTGAGGCAAAATTAATTTGTTATTTTGGGTGTATGTTACTTTGCCTTTCCTTTTGTGAGAAGGAATTATTTCATTCTGTTAGATAAGTGAAAAGAGATCTGTAGGTTGGAACAGTGGGCGATTCAAAACAGTGGGCACAGTATGCCATAGTATATGTGGAGATGATGGAACCATCTCAAAAGAAACACGGAGCTATGAGGAAGATGAAGTGAGAACAGCAAACATGGGGAAGGATGCTGTTTTGCCTGAGGAAAACATTGCTATCCATAAGATATTTTATTTAAAGACAGGACTTGTGTACAAGATGAAGAGATCTCTGAAACAAAACACAGATGGCTTCTAAGCTTTGAAATACAAACAGCTGCTGCATCCTGGAGGTTACTCAACTTCGTGGTGCTTTCACATTTGAGAAGATGACTTTGTGTGCATTGTATGCCTACCCAGACTAGCTACAGCCTGAAAAAATTGTAGCCAGCCGCCATCTGCACTGAAGTGATTCAGAAACTGAATGGTGGACAAGAAAATTCAACATCTGTCTGTGTATTTGAGCTCAGTGTGTTCCTTTACAAAGAACATGATGCAGCTTGCAGATAGCTCTAGAATGATATGGTTGCTGCAGGAGATGTGGAGAAAATAGGCATTCATTTCGGGGGATAGGATGAAGAGCAGTGGACACATTGCAGCAAGAGCAGTTCTGATTAGCTACACAGGGGAAAAAAAGGCACAAAACCTATGAGAGATGATCCAGATATTATGAAGAATCAGTCCTTATAGTTCTTTAAAGCCCTACAAAACCTGCTTTGTTACTGAAATTTGCTCTGCTGTGAGGGGTTAGAAAGAAGACTGTGGCAGATTTCTAGTAGTCTTACATGCAAAAATATTTCACTGGTTAGTTAAGTTGGAGTGTGTTCATTGCCTTGATAAAACAGGGATTCTGCAGTAGGCCAAGCTTAATTTATCAGCCTGCCCTCAACAATCTTCCATTTTACATCCTGATAGGAAAACTTGCTGTGCCAGAATCCCATCAACGATTTCATCGTGCAGTGAAGACAGAGTTAAGAGGAACTTGAAAAGCTGACTTTGTGAGCTTATCCAAGCCTAGACTGAAGCTCCTGCAGGGTTTTGGGGATTTAACAGGGACTGGAAAGGGATAATGTATGTACTCTTCTGAGAACAAGGAGCTTGCAGAGGTGTTGTCTGGACATATGTTAATTTTTTCAGTGTATGTTCTCGATACTTTGAGGAGTGTTCTGGCACCTTCTAGTCTTTTGGAGAGCAAAAAAAGAAAATAATTTAGACATTATGAAAACACTTTTGAATGAGCAAGCAGTTTAGAAATATTCATAAAACATATTTAGAAGTATTGAATTTTTGTTCAACAGTAAATGAGAAGGAGATAAGGATAAGATGCTGGAGGACGTGTTTGATGTCCAAAATGTAACTAGTAAAAGCTTTGGGTAGATGTAACTGCTTTCATGTTTTTCTTGTTGTCTTGCAGGTTGATTTGAAAAGTTCTTCCAGTCAGTCCCTAAAGCAGAACAGAATTCTGATTTAATAAAGCAATATTGATATTGCTGTGTGACATGCAGCTATGATGCAAGGAAGGAATTCCTTCCTCTGCCAGAGAACGATGTTCTTCCTGCCTGCATCTTGATTTCCCTAATGTTACTGAAGTCGAAATAATTATACCAATGTGAGACTGCTGTTTTCTCTTCAAGCTTCGCTCCAGCTGCCTGAAACCTTGTAGTCTGTTCCCTGTGTCTGATCTCCTCTTTGGTCATATATGGATGCATTGCTTAGATGTTGTGGCAATACCAAGGGATGCTGAAGTTGTACCTCTGGGTCTGTGTTAGTGAGTGCCTTCCTTGAAAAAGTAACCTTTCCCATGAGATCCGAACTGAAAAATAGACTGGAGGTTGTGATACCAGTTGTGAAAGTGAGAGTAGTTCAACTTCTGTTTTGAAAAAACAGATGCTACCCCTCCCCCCTCTGCACTCCCAACTGTTTTTTTCTTATCATTTGGGAGAACAATTGTGAACTTCAGAACTGTTGAAAAACGATTTTCCTGACATTACCAGTTGCAGATGAATTTACATATTAAGGAATGTTTTTGCTACTTCTGTAATAAGATTAAAAATGATGGTCATTCTGGGTCTAGGTAGTGATAGAATCTTTCATCTGGGCTACAGTTTTATATCAAGATAAAGAAGAAATTTGGTATACAGTTTGTGTATGCTCATGTTATTGCTGTGCTCAAGGAATCTGGGAATGCTCACAGCTCACACTGATTGTACCCCTGTTTGGTCCTTATACACCACTTAGTTCTGTGAGCCGGATTTAGGCGAATTTTAAAATCTGAGTTTTCATCGAATTCATTCAGATTTGCTATTAAATTTCATCTGAGACAACGAAGTCTTTACAGGCAGGCATGACATTTTGGCAAGGCCCCAGTAGGATACTTAGCCAGTGCCAAATCTTTTATTTTTCTCAGCTATCAATGAAGCTGTTGTGGTAATGTGGGTTTTGTGAGCTGTGAGAATTTATGCGCACAAAGAGACCTGCTCTTAGCAGGGAACACTGGGAGCCCTGAGTCCAGGAGGAAGGGTAATTAAAGTTAATGAACCAGGGTAACCTTTCCATGGTGATGACCACTATCCTGATGGTAGGTAAGGGTCAGGGCCTATTCCCGTTCTATAATCACACTTTTAGCTCTGCTCTTTAATTGGTGTTGGATTAAAAATTGGCTGTTACCTTCATAATAGATCTGGCTTGTGGATTTTAAAGAAGTTTATAAAGCTCTGTGATTCTTCAGTGGCTCGTTCTTCTTGGACTTGGTTTTGTGTTGTATTAGTGTGGTCTGAAGATGAAATATTTTTAGAATTCAAGACCAGATAGCGGTGTCACTGTGATTGAAGTGACTTAATCATCTGTTGGTGTCATAACAGAGACTTATTCCTTATATGCTTCCCATGTTGGAGGCTTCATTTAGTTTCATCAGCAAGTCTGATAAGCTTTTGAACTCGCTGTGCTTGGAGTGGTTGTGAATTTAAGGTAACATGCTCTAAGGATGAGGCTGGAATGCTGACTTAAACTGTTACTGCTCTTCTGACATGTTTTTGTGACATAGGATTGTCAGCAGTTTACGGGCTGGTTCGGCCCCGTTCTGTGACTGGTGGGGTGGAGGGATTTTGTGAAATCCGTGCCTCCAGAAAAAGGGAACAGGGGACCCCAAAATAATTAAAAAACAGTGGCAACGATCTGAGGCGAAACAAACTAATTTACTAAATATAGTATCAGAATGCAAGATAACACACTATAATACAATATAATTCTGTTATATTGAATTAAAGCTAATCAAATATAATGAGAGAGAATATCTGAAAAATGGATAGGCCTTACCACAATGCTGAGGTGAGATGCGCAGCCCAGTTGAGCTGCAGGGAGAAGGGGGAGAACTGACGAAGAGTGGACGAAGAAGATCCCATCAGGTGACCTTGCCAGGAGCTGAATCTCCTCTCTGTGACCGCAGATTCCCTTGGGGAATGCAGTTCTTCTTCTTGTTCAGGCAGGTACCCAGAACTTGAGCATTAACAGTTAAACTCCCACTGCCCCACATGATGTTATGATGTGGAATACTGAAAATCAAAAATCACAAAACCATGACAGAGGATAAATTATATTATGCAAGCCATTTTCCTTGAAGAGGATTTCATAACTGAAGCAAGTCGTCCTTTATAAGAGATCAACTAAATAAAAGAGGTTTTCGGCTGCTGTCTCAAATCTTTGTAGACTGTAAGTTTTGCATCAAGCAGGGGACAAACAGATTTCATTCAAAAAGATTAATAATGATTGATGGCACTGGTGGACAAAGGAAGGGAAGCTGATCATGTCTGCCTGGACTTGTGCAAGGCCTTTGACATAGTCCTGCATCTGTCCCTAAATTGGAGAGAATTGGAGTTGAAGGCTGGACAGTTCAGTGGATAAAGTGTATTCCTGATGGTTGTAGTGCCAGGTGAAGGCTAGTTGTGAGCGCTATTCTCTACAGGTCAGTCTTGGGACTGATGCTCTTCAACATCTTCATCAATGACCCAGACTGAGTGCACCTCAGCAGGTTTGCAGATGACATCCTGCTGAGTGGTGCAGTTGACAAAATAGAAGGAAGGGATGCTGTCCAGAGGGACCTGTATAGGCTAGACCTACAATCTGTTTATCACAGGTGTTTTGTAGGTATTTATGTGTTTAAAGGCATTCTTTTTTTTTTTTTTTTTTTTAAACAAAATTAATGTGTTCTTCCTTTATTTTATTAGAAACTGTTTACTTGTTTGGTGGCTGGGATGGAACTCAAGACCTGGCTGACTTCTGGGCATACAGTGTGAAGGAGAACCAGTGGACTTGTATATCCAGAGATACTGAGAAAGAGGCAAGTAGTACATTCATGCTGTTAATACCATATGAATTATTGTAGAGAAAAATGCTGTATTTCTAAAGTGCTTCTATACATGAATAGTGTGCCAAAATTATGAACAAAAAAAAAAAAATCGAACTTTCAAGTTCAGAAGACTTTTGAAATAGGACTGGGAAAATATGAAATGGATGTGAAATTCAAGTGTTAGCCGTTACTGGGAGAAAGGTTTATTTCCCAGGAGTAGACTGATCAGCCAAAAATCAGTTCAGTGAGTAAGATATAAGTTAAATAATGTGATAAGATGGAACAAGGCTGCCAAATAAACATTTCAGACCTGATGCTGGTGTTGAGGCTCAGTAAAAATTTTTTTTTTTTTTTTAGCTTCTGTCAAAAATGTGAGTAGAAATGGACAACCAAGAGGTGAAAATACATAGAACAGAGAGTAACTGCTAGAGGTCATGCAATCCGAGGAGTTTTCATGGCATTCAAGTCATTTTCTTTGGCCTGTTTTGCTTGCTTTTTGATGTATGATACCTCTGAAATGAATGTAGATTGGGCTATAGGTGATAACAAAAAGAGAGTTCCAACCTTTGACTCATGTAATTCCCATGACATTTCACAGTATATATTAGAAATTTCCTGTGGTTATTGTGTTCAGAGTTCATTACTTGTTTGTCAGAGCATAACTGAAGTGAATTCATGCAGCGTTGTCTTGAAGGATTGAAAAGACTGAGATTCCAGCATTTTCTGATACCTAAATTCAGAAACTGATTTCCCCAAGTATTTACAAAAGTCACAGATGTATTTTTTTTCTCATTTGAATTTTTCTGGGTTCTTGTCACTAGCTTAATTTATGAACTTAAGAGTACTGCCATTTTTTCCTGGCAAAGGTGTATAGAGGTTGCAGTCGAGTAGGACAAATAGCCTTAGTGGAAAATCTCACAGTAAGGCTCTTTCCCTTTGCATCTGTGCTTCATGTACAGAGTTTTTAATGTTATTTAAAAGATGAGCAATAATGAAACTGATTGTGGTATTCTAGTATCTATCTTAACAGTGCTTGTATAAAGGTTAAAAATTGTCCTTATGTTTTGTATCTTTGTGAGCTTTTTTCCTCATCACTGCTCGCAGCTCTGTACTTCTCATGGCTTCTCACGTGTTTAGCAGTACAGTGTTGAAACTGGATTTGGTCTTTCAGTGCTGTAGGGTCAGCTTGTGTAGCTGAAAAAAAAAAAAAGAGTTCATACTGTTCACCCAAAATTAAGTGGGATATGTGTGATGTAATGAGGAAATTGGGATTTAACTCTTTTATCAACTTCTATCCAAAAGATAAAGCTAGACCATCTTTTCCTTCGGTCCAGAAAATAGAGAGCCAGTAATAGTGAAAGCAAACAATAATTTTAACTGCTGTCTGTTTCACTTTTTTTCTTCTTTTGTAGCTACCCAGTGTGTGTTATTTTGTCTAACTCAGGATGCAATGTAATAAGGCCTTCCTGTCAAGAAGGGTGACTGTTTTCTTCCTGCACGAACCAGTGTGGGTAGTTCTGGTGTTTCCTTAAGCAGTTCAGTTTCTGTGGTGGTTTTTCTTTTTTCTTTTTTTTTTCTTTTTTTTTCTGGGATTCTTTTTTATCCAGTTGAGCTTCTGTAGAGCTTGGGAGGCCTGGCTGGGATGCAAGGCATGAAATGGTGCCAGAAACAGCGTATGTTTTCTGAGTTCCTCGTGCCTGACTCTAGCAGGGTAATGCTGGGCTGGGAATAAAAGAATATAGAAAAGAACAGCTGTGGAGGAGACAGATTTTGGAGGAAGTAAAATTAGATTGCAATGGCAGGTCAGGAAATTCAAGTGGAAGTTGGAGGGATTGTTGGCTGAGAAGAAGCAAGGTCAGGAAATCAAGAAAAGATGAAGGTTCAATTGAATGCATGGGGAACTTTGAAAAAGACACATACTTAATATGAGTGGAGAAGTATTTAGAAATGGAGTTCCAGAATGGCTTTATGTTTAGTTACAGTCTGACGTGGATGTCAGAAGACAACCTACAGAGGCATAGTTCAGGATTTTGATGACTTAAAGCAGTACACTGAATGGTTTTTTTGTTATTGTTGTTTTTTTTCTATTGGAGTTCTGGATGAAACCTGATTTAGAAATGAAAAGGTCAATCTCAAACAGAGAAGTAAATTAAAAAACAAAGACTCCAGATGTTTCTCTAATAGGACCATCAACTATTCACAAACAACTTGCTGAAAGGAACTGTCTGTTGACATGGAATTTTTGAAAATGTTCTAGAGTCCAATTGAACTTTGTCTTGTTTTTGTGTTATGTTGTGCTTGTTCCGCTTCTAGCTATTTTATCCCACTTAATTTGTGACACTGGTTGAATTAGCCACTGAATATTTCAGCTTGGATAAAAGGAGAAGATGGTTGCATATTATCCAACATCATCTTAAGGGTAACACAGAGCAACTGTTTCAGAGTAAAGGTACCAAGAACTTCTGATGCAATGCCAGATTATCTTCATCCACTTGGCACTGCGGTACAAAGAATTTGCGGTGACCTTTTCAGTAAATGGCGTTGTTTCTGTTTTTCTAAGTTTGCCAGTGAGTTGGAGAAAGGTCTCTTTGTCACCTTAAGTTGCACTTGTGTTCTTAACAGTTCAACTACCAATGCTAATTTTCCACAGTCCTCCTTATCTCAGGAAGAAATGCTTGCAGTGGTAGTGAAGTAACTGGTGGCCCATGTTCTTTAGAAGAAAAAGAAAAGGTATCGTGAACTAAAGTGCAGTGTTGTGTTGAGTTTCCAGAATATGTACCCTAGCAGCTGGTGGGCAGACTGGAATTGGAACTTCCCAACCATTCTTTCACTGTGTGGAGGCAGGAAGGTTCCTTCAGTCCTTGTGAAATGATCCTCGTTCATGATTGTGTCCTTGCGAAGGAATTGTACCATGACCTCTCAAACGGACCCACAACTTCTGTCTGCTCTGTGCAGTGCTTGAGTATTCAACAGCTCTCCAAATCGGTTGGCACAAGGCATGGCCAAAGCATGTGAAGTCTAAGAGTCTTTAAGAAGTTGTAACCTGAATCAAATGGAATGTTCTAACAAATGTTGTCTCGGGTGTATTAGCAGTAGTAGATTAGTGGACCTTTTTAGGATTTGGGGACAGTTTTAAAATATCAAACCTTGTCATGTCTTGAGCATTTTGATACTAGGCCAGCGTCAATTGATAGATGAACTTAATGTGAATGTTTTGGTATCTAATATCTGTAGTTTCCAAGCAGTAACTTTCTCCTAGGGTAACTTAGTGAAATGAAGTACAGAAGGACAGTTGAGGTGAATAGGCAGCCGTAGGTAGGACTTCATTTGCAGTAGGTTGATAATTCTGTGGACTTAGAGGATCAAAATGCTGAGGTATGTTTAGGCTCTGAATCAGAATCACAAGGTTGGGAAGTTGGGAACGACCTATAAGATCATCTAGTCCAACCGTCTTCTCATTACCACTGCTACCACGAGCTACTAAACCATATCTTGCAGCTCCTCATCCAGACACCTCCTGAACACTGCCAGGGACGGCAACTCCACCACCTCCCTGGGCAGCCATTCCAGTGCCTGACCGCTCTCTGGGGGAAGAAGTTTTTCCTCATGTCCAACCTAAACCTCCTCTGGTACAACTTGCAGCCTTCATCAGTAAAGATATTAAACAAGATGGGCCCCAGTACTGACCCCTGGGGGACACACCACTTGTAACAGGTCGCCAGCCAGACTTAACTCCATTCACCACAACCCGCTGGGCATGGCCATCTAGCCAGTTTCTTACCCAAAGAAGTGTATATCTGTCCAGACCACGGGCAGCCAGTTTCCCCAGAAGAAGCCTGTGAGGGACCGTGTCAAAGGCTTTGCTGAAATCTGGGAAGACTACATCAACAGCCCTTCCCTCATCTACCAGACTGGTCACCCAGTCATAGAAGGAGATGACATTGGTCAAGAACGACCTGCCTTTCATGAACCCATGCTGGCTGGGCCTCATCCCCTGGACACCACGCATGTGCTATGTGATCTCACCCAAGATGATTTGCTCCATTATTTTCCCTTGTACCGAGGCCAGGCTGACAGGCCTATAGTTCCCCGGATCCTCCTTACAGCCCTTCTTGAAGATGAGAGTCACATCAGCAAGCCTACAATCCTCTGGTACCTCTCCAGTGAACCACAAGTGCTGATAGGTGGCCAAGAGCAGCTCGGCAATCACTCCTGCCAGCTCCCTCAGCACTTGAGGGTGTAGCCAATCCAGTCCCATGGACTTGTGACAGTCCAGATGGAGGAGGAGCTCTCTGACTGTCTCCATCTGAATCGCTGGGGGCGTATCCTGAGTAGCATCCCAGACTTCCAGATCAAGGCATCGAATGCCCAGAGGATAACTGGTCTGGCTACTAAAGGCAGATGTAAAGAACGCATTGAGGACCTCAGCCTTCTCCTTGTTCTCAGTGGACACATTCCCTGCTGCATCAAGTATGGGATGAAAATTATCCTTGGTTCTTCTTTTGCCATTGATATATTTATAAAAGGATTTTTTTATTGTCTTCTACTGCAGAGGCCAATCTGAGTTCAAGTTGAGCTTTTGCCTTCCTAAATTCCTCCCTGCATACCTTAGCTACTTCTCTGTAATCTCCCCAAGTCCTTCTTCCAGAGGACATAGACTCTCTTTTTGTCTCTGAGTCTCAACAGTAGTTCCTGGCTCATCCACACTAGTCGTCCACCCCTACGGCTCGCCTTGCGGCACTCAGGGACAGATGCAATGATTCAGGGGAAGATTCAATAGTTGAGAACTGGGAAGCACTATATTTTGTATGTCCGTACTATTCTTTTGCACTATTTTGGTACTTCCTGCAGACATCAGAAGAGATGCAAGATCTTCTTGGAAACAGTATTTTACTGTGCAAAGTGGTAGCTTCTGTTGTGCGTTTGTGTTGATTCATCATCACTGTGGCTTTATGCTCACATGTCAGCTCTGTGAAGGACATGGAAATTGT